TTATCTTGTTCATCAGGTTTATTTGTTTTCACTCTTCACAGAATCCATTTTCATGTATTTAAAGGGCAACTGTGCACTTTGCACCTGGCTCTCGTCGAGAGCCCACTTCCCAGGGGCGCCGTATTGGTCAAGGGGCTGGTGGAGTCAGATCCCAGAGGAAGGGCCCAAGGGTCACAGGTCTGGAGGCCAGACGTCTGAAAACCAAGGTGTCCGCAGAGCTGGCTCCTGGTGAAACCTCTGGGAAGAGGGGAGTGTCTGTTCCTTGTCTCCCCAGCTCCTGGTGTGGCCGGCAGTCCTTGGCATTCTTTGGCTGGTAGAATCTTCATCCCAGTCTCTACCTTTGTCATCACATGTCTCTATCTGTCCTCTTCTTTAAGGACATCTCTCATTGAATAGAGGGCCATCCTAATACTGGCTTCCCAGGTGGCATAGTGGTGAAGAACTCACCCGCCAATGAGGGAGATGTAATAGATGCAGGTTCAATCCTGGGGAAAATCCCTTGGAGGAGGAAATGGCAACCCACTCCAGTATTCTTGCCTGGAGAATCCCAAGGAACAAAAGAGCCTGGCGGGCTACAGTCCATAGGGTCGCAAAGAGTCGGATATGACTGAAGCGACTTGGCAGGCACCCTAATCCAGTGTGATCTCATTCACTCCTCACCTTCATGACATTTGCAAAGACTTTTATTCCAAATGGGGTCACATTCTGGGGGAACATGCATTTTGGGGAGACACCCTTCAACTCCCAACCAAGAGAATCTGAGGTTTATGGGGGAGGGACTTGTCGGGTCAGGGATGCTGTGATCCAAGACCAGTGGTCCTTGACTTCAGGCGGACATCTGACTTCACATTCCACCCCTGCCCCCAGAGGATCCAGCAGCATCCCAGTCGGGCATGTGCAGCACCCAGAGAGTGGCAGGGGCAGGGAGCCACCACCTGCCTGGGCAGGAGGGACAACAGGAGGAGATCTTGTCACCTGACCTGGGAAACCAGCTGGAGCTAGGCCAGAGGCAGGGGTTTCTAAGATAGCAGTGGGACCCAGGAGGAGAGACCCTCTGGTGGGACTGAAGCCATGGAGGAAAAGCTACACCTCCCAGAGTAAAGGGAAGGGGAGCAAGACCCTGCCCCGCCCTCCGGACTTCTGCCTGCCATGGTCCATCATCCTCTGTTGGAACCCGCCCTAAGCCAGATGGCAAGGGAGCCCAAAAGTGAAGCTCGCTTTAATGCCAGCAGTGTGGTGAGGTTGCAGACAGGATCTGAGAGCAAACAAACTCCTCTACCTTTGTGTGGGAGGGTCCTGAAAAGGCTTTTGAATCCACCCCCCCCATAAGATGGACAGTCCAAGAAGAATGTGCCATTGAATGTGATGCTTTGTGTTCCCTTTCTTTTGCTCCCTTTAGATTTCCCTTTGGGAAACCCAAAGCTCTGTGCAGGAAGCGCCTCGTTTCATCTGCAAAAGGGTCCCATGATGTTGGCGTTCTTGTGATGCCCCGTTTTACAGATGGAGAAACTGAGGCCACGATTGCCCCGCTGGGATTTAAATGCATGTGGTCTAGCTTCAGAGCCCCTCTGGCTGCCTCTCTGGAGTCACCCTCACTGGCACGTGTGTGACAGCTGTAGGACACAGGCGACCCCGTAGAGCTCTGGGGGTGCTGGTGCGGGGACTTTGCTGCTGTCAGTTGCAGCTTCCATGTGCCTGGCGGGGGAGAGGCTCCCATCTGAGCATGTCTACAGGCAAAACGCAAACACAGGAGTCAACAGCAAGGCTCCTCTGGGGCAGGTCGGAGCCTGGGGTGCAGAGCGCCGAGGGGGTTGTCTCTGCTTCTGACAGCAAGGAGGAGCAGGCCTAGGAGTAGGAGCAGCAGAAGAAACCTGACTTCTGAGCCAGCCAGCTGGCTTCCAACAGTGTTTTGGTCCATATCTGAGCTGTGTGGCCTTAGGCACATGGCAGCCTCTCTGAGCCTCCATGAACTCATCAATCAAGAGGGAGAAATCTTAAGTGTCTTATAAGCTGTTCTAAGTATAAGATAGGAGACCAGAGCCAAAGAGCTTGACACATCATGTGGGCCGCTAGATCCTGAACCAAGATGTTCTATTTTTCACTCACAGGCCTTTCAGCATCTGGGAAAAGGTGAGTATGTAGGTTCTCAGTCAAGTCATTCTGTGGGGTTGCATGTGACCTGACTGCCTGGCCACAGACTAGGTATTTTATTCATTTCTGTATTTACTTATGGCTGCGCTAGGTCTTTGTTGTTGCCCACAGTCTTTCTCTAGTTGGGGTGTGTGAGCTTCTCATTGCGGTGGGTTCTCTTGTTGCAGAGCTCGGGGTCTAGAGCATGCAGGCTTAGCAATCACAGCACACAGGCTCAGTAGTTATGGCACACGGGCTTCGTTGCTCTTTGACATGTGGAATCTTCCTGGAGCAGCTATTGAATCTAGGTCCCCTCCATTGGCAGGCAGATTCTTAACCACTGGACCACCAGGGAAGTCCCAGACCAGATATTTTAAACATTTGCTACATTTTCTCACCCTGGTTCTTTTCACTAATGTCCCAGGCAACGCCTGCAGTCAACATCAGTCGGCTAACAGACAACTTTCCAGCAGATCTCTGGGGCAAAACTTTTGGCGTGGTAATCTTTCCAGGGTAGGCATTAGCTTTCTCTTTCAAATTGTTCAGAATGTATGTGTTGTCTTGAATGCCTGTGGATCCAATGGAAAGGCATTTTATCCTATTATGGGGAGTCTATATTGTTGTTGGCCCCATCTTGCAGGTGAGAAGCTAGGCACAGATATATTAGACTGTGGGTCTGCGTGGACCCAGCCGAATAGTGACAGAATTAGGATTTGAATCCCCAGAGCCTGGCTTTACATTCTTCTCACTGAAATTTCTGTTGAAATAATTGGAGAGTCATAAGAAATAACACAGAGAGATCTAGTGTATCTTTACCCAGTCTTCTCAGTACTGATAATGTCTGGCAAAACTACAGCACAATATCATGACTAGGATGTTGATATGGAATTGGCTTTACTTTTAACCCAATACTGTTACCACCCAGGTTGATATGTTGTTTTCTCCAGGAAGATGCTTTGAACCCAACTCTGAATCTGAGATCAATCTGTCAACTTTTAATGATGTTTAAAGCTATTTTATTATGCTTAAGGCTACTTTAAAAAAGTTGAACATGAAAAAAAAAAAGTTGAACATGAATGGAATGGGTTGAGCATGTCACTGCAAAGATGCCGTGATGGCTATCTCATCCATTCGCCATCTGAGGCAGACCATGTGTCACAAAATATCTGCAGCATCACCATCTATCCCATACGCTCTTCTTACAGAGTGACTTTGACCCAGATTCTCTCATCAAGAGGAGAAATCAGTGTTCCTTCTCCTTGAATTTGAGCGGGCTGATGATGACAGAAGTGATGCTCCTGGACCTCTGATAATAAGTCACAAAAAGTGATGCCACTTCCTCCTGGTTCTTTTCAAGATGCTGTCATGCTGTGAGGAAATTCAAGCTACCCACTTGGAAAGACCACATGGAGAGACCACATATACGTGTTGTGCCTGACAAGCCAGCTGAGTTCCCAACTGACAGAAAGCAAACACCAAGCATGTGGGTGACAAGATCTCCAGGTGACTCCAGCCTTTGAGTCAACCCCCAGCCTTGGGTCTTCAAAGCTGAGACCTTAGATGCTATAGAGTGGAGGCAAGGCATCCCTGCTGTGCCATATCCAAATTCTTTTTTTTTTTTTACTGTAACTAATTGTTATTTATTCTTTATTTATTTATGTTTTTATTATTATTTGGCTGTGCTGGGTCTTTGTTGCTGCACACGGGCTTTCCCCAGTTGCAGTACAGTGGGGCTACTCTTCATTGCTGAGCTCGGGCTCATCAGCACAGGCTCAGGAGTTGCAGCACATGGACTTAGTTGCTCTGTGACATATGGACTGTTTCTGGACCAGGGATTGAAGCCGTGTCTCCAGCACTGACAGGTGAATCTTATCCATTGTACCACCAGGGAAGTCCCCATATCTAAATTCTTAACCCACAGACTCATGGATAAAAGCTTGTTAAGTTTCAAGTGCTTTCTTATCTAACAATAGTAACCGACACACCATCCAGCTAACACTTCTAGAACACCTACTATGCACCGGGGATAATGTTCAATGTGGGGTGGGGGGTATAATGGTGAGCAAAACCCAGCCAGGAGTCATGCCCTCGTGGCACCTCTGTTCTGACAAATGCAGAAGATGAAAGGGAATCAGAGTTTTGCTTCTCTTCATGCCAGGGTTTGTTTTTGTTTCTGTTTTATTTTATTTTTAAAAGAGGAGAAAACTTGGACTCAATCCTCTTTGGGCTTTGATGCTCTTGCCAAATGAATTAGCCCAAAGTATTTTGGTCTGACTGTGCCAACTGAGTGTAGCCTAAGCAGAATTATCTGTGACTCATTCTGTTGCTGAACTGAAGAACCAACATCCTGGGGTGAACGTATTTTGACCTTCGGTCTATAGTGTTTGACCTTGAAGGTAGGGGTGGTATCACAGAGACTTAAGAGAAACATGAGGGGGCCGGGGCCCTGGGATCTATATCCCAATGGAATCTCCATTTTTGGAGTCATTGCTGAGCATCTGACAAGGTACCAGGGTCTCCGGGACAGGATAAATCCTCGTTAATGGGAAAGGATTCAGCTTAGGCAATAGACATGGAGTCCAACCATGATGGGCAGGTGCTAAGGGCTGGCAAACAAGCCTAGCTTGTTTGGAAGCTTCGACTGTGATACCCTTCTCTCTACTCATCAGAAGTCCTGCCCACAGTGTTCCCAGGGCTTTTCTGGAGGCCAGTTGGGGATGGCGGTGGGCGGATGGAAAAAGCCGATTATTTCCCTGGTTTCGGGCCAAGACTCAAGTTTGCAAACTCTGTGAAAACAAACACAAGTGAATGTTCCCAGTCCCAGCATGACAGAAGACAATCAGGAGGGATTCCAAGAGGGTGGCTGCAGGATGGGAAACTTGTTTGCAGAGAAACTGGAAAAGACCCCAAGGTTAAGTGCCCGCTTCGGGACCCAGAGGTAAACTTTCACATGGGAATAAAGCGTCTGTGACATGTTCTCTTCTCATGCTGGAGTTGCCAGGAAGGGTGGATCTGCGGGGTCACTGCAAGTATGGTTTCTACAAATTATGCTCGAATAGATCTCCTAAACACTGTTTTAGGGAAGTGTCGGTCCACAGTGGTGGACCAGCTGGCCTTCTAGTGAACAAATGAAAGCCTAGCATTCTTGTAGCAGACATTTGTTTTGGCACTTAGCATCCATTTCTCCATCTTTGGGTAACAGTTTATGAAAATTTTTTGAGAAATCCTCTCCATTTATGCTCCATCATTCACTGACTGCGGGGGATGGTCATGGAACTCAAGCCTGGTCAATTAAAGCAGTGTGTCTTTTTGGCTTCATGATTGGTTCAGGGATAGTTGTGGGACCCAATCCTGGCCAATAACCATCAGGCTGAGAACTTTAATTCACACATGTGAGAGAGAAAATGTTTTGTTTCCACTGGGCTTAAAGCACAGAGGGTGTCAGCTGGGGACTCCAAGTTAGAGATGCCTGGCGAGGCTACATGCTGAGCGTGGGGACATACAGAAGAAGGCAGGAGGGGAGATAGATTTATTTATTCACTGAAGGATAGTTGATTTATATAAAATGTGTTAGTTTCAAGTGTGCAGCAAAGTGATTCAGTTATATACACCCACACACATATATATGTATGTGTATATATATATATATATATATATATATTTCAGATTTTTTCCCTTATAGGCTATTACAAAATATTGAGTATAGTTCCCTATGCTATACATTGTTGGCTATCTATTTTATGTATAATGATGTATTTATGTTAATCGCAAACTCCTAATTTATCCCTCCTTCCCCTTTTTCCCTTTGGTAACCATAAATTTGTTTTCTAAATCTGTGAGTGTGTTTCTGTTTCATAAGTTCATTTGCATCCTATTTTAGATTCCACACATCAGTGATATCATATGATATCTTTCTCTGTCTGACTTACTTCACTTAGTATTTTATGATAATCTCTAGGTCCAACTGTGTTGCTGCAAATGGCATTATTTCATCCTTTTTATGGCTGAGTAACATTCCATTGTATGAATCTATCACATCTTCTTGATGATAGCATTCAAGTCTAACCATGCGCCAGACTCTTAACTTCCCATTAAAATGAGTCAATACACTCCTTTGTTTGTTTATTTCTTAAGCCATTTTGAACTGGGTCTCAGGGGCTTACCAATGAAAAAGTCCTGGCTAAAACCTATGCCATCTCAAAAGCAACGTATCTTCCAAAATGATGGGCACAGAACAGAAGAAAGAGGTATGAGTTGGAATTTCTGGACAAGATTCCATGGCTGCCATGACAAATTATCACCAATGCAGTAGCTTAAAACAACCCCAGTTTTTATTCTCTTATAGTTCTGAAGGTCAGGAGTCCAAAATGGGTTTCATTGGACTAAAATCAAAATGTCAGTAGAGCTATGTTCCTTCTGGAAGTTTTAGGAGAGAAGTCATCTCCTTCCCTTTCCAGCTCCTAGAGGCACCCACATTCCTTGGCTCATGGCCCCTTCCTCCATCTTCAAAGTCATCATTGTCTCTCCTCTCTGACCCTTCTTCTGTAATCCTGTCTCTTTGTGACCATAGCTGGGAAATGTTCCTCATTTTGAAGTATTTTTGTGATTAGATGGGATCGACCTGGATAATCCAGGACAATTTCCCCTCCCAAGATGCTTAACTTTAGTCATATCTGCTAAGTCCCCTCTTATTCTAGAAGGTAACATAGCCACAGGGTCCAGGGTTTAGGATGTGGACATCTTTTGGGAGTGAGGGGGCAGAGAGGACATTACTCTGCCTACCACAGTAACACAATTATTATTCAAGCATTTATTAGTCATCAATTCGTCATCGTGCTCTTTGGGGAGGACTAAAGGGATTTTTTGTTGTTGTTTAGCCAAGTCGTGTTTGACTCTTTTGTGACCCCATGGACTGTAGCCCGCCAGGTTCCTCTGTCCATGGGATTTCCGGGGCAATAGTGGAGTGGGTGCCATTTCCTCCTCCAGGGGATCTTCCCAAACCAGGGATCAAAACTGCATCTCCTGTGTCTCCTGCATAGGCAGGCAGATTCTTTACCACTGAATCACCAGGGGAAGCCCACTAAAGGGGTTATGAAAAAGTAAAAAATCAAATCAAGAAAGTTTATTGAAACAACAGGTTCAGAGGGTCCCATGATTGAAGGTTTGATGTGTTTAGAACTCTGAAAACTGAATTGCTTCCCCTGAACTTAGGAGCAACCCTGGGGCTCCTTGCCGACAACCAGAACAAGAGTCACTTTTTTCCTTCTTGGATTTTTTTTTGAAAGGCACATCCGAAATAACACAGAGAGACTGGAGGACTCCTTCCCAGACTGAGCTTGGCAGCCTTCTCTCGGGAGTTTTCATGTCATCAACTTCATTCAGCACCTTTTCCTCCCTGCCTGGCTGACCGAGCGCCTGCATATGGTTTCCTGGTGTGGGTGTGGATGCATGACCCAGGAGCGGGCAGGAGTGCCAAGCCCCAGGAGGGAGCAACCCAGGCATTGGGGAGGGCCTGGGAGGTGAGTGGGTGCAGCAGACGAGCCTCACCTATATCACAGTTGTGCTAAGGGCAGGCTGGTCTTGCCAAACTGCCTCACTCCTGGTTGTGCCCAGCTGGTTGCAAACCGCACAGAACTCAATTAATTACCCAGTGACTCGCTCCTTGGGGCAAGTCCTTGAATCAGTGCCAACACACTTGGGATAAAGCCCACACCATTTACCATGGTCCCCAGTGCCACCCAGTCTGGCCTCCCCACCTCTAAAGCTCTTCCTGCTGCTCACCCCAGCTCCCCACATGCCACTGCTCACTGGCCTGTCCTCTGTCCCTTGAAAACCTGAGCTCCTTTCCACCCTACAGGCTTTGCATATGCTGTTCCCCTCACCCATAATGCTCTTCCAGCAAATTCACTTCCTGTTTATCATTCAGGGCAATCATGATTCCATCCTTTGTCTAAGACTTTTTCTTTTTACGGCTGTGCCACATGGCCTACGGGCATCTCGGTTCCCCCTCAGTCCCTGGTTCAGGGACTGAACCCAGGTTACCGCCGGCTTCCCTGGTGCCTCAGATGTTAAAGCGTCTGCCTGCAATGCGGGAGACCAGGGTTCAATCCCTGGGTTGGGAAGATCCCCTGGAGAAGGAAATGGCAACCCACTCCAGTACTCTTGCCTGGAAAATTCCATGAACAGAGGAGCCCGCTAGGCTACAGTCCATGGGGGTCACAAAGAGTCAGACACGATTGAGTGACTTCACGTCACTTCACTCCCAACTTCCCTACTGATGCCTTTTTCTACTTTTTTCTACTCTACGTCCCATTGTAGTATCATTGCTGTGAGGACAGGACTTTGCGCCTCTTGTTTACTTGCTGTTGAGGACAATGCTTGACAGAGAGTAGGTATCCAATAATAGCCCCCGAGTGAATTCAGAGTGGAAGGTGAAGGAGGCCATATTCAATCCTAGGGTGGGAGCCAGCTTCCAAGATGGTGCCCAAGCCTCACCTCCCAGCATTCTCTCCCTCACGAAATTCTCTCCCACATGGAATCAGAGAGATGTCACTTGCCTTCCAAGGCTAGTCCATCAAAGACCTTGCAGCTCTGCCTTGGGGTCTTGAAACACAAGCTTTCAGCCACTATGGAAAATGCCCTTCTACTTTGGGGCCAACATGTTAAAGAGGCCACAGGTAGTGCTCTGGTCGATGCTGCTAGCTGAGCCCAGCCTTCCAGCCAGCCCTGTCAAGGGCTGTGACATCAAGGGCTGTGGGTGACATCATTTGGGCTGTCAGGAACACCACTTCCCATAGCTTTAATACCTCCAAGGAAACTGTCAATGCCAGGTAGAAAAGAAAGTCACCCACATGAGCTTAAGCCCACAAAATTGCAATATAAAATACATTTTATATTATATATTAGCAGTTTTGTAAGCTGCTAACTTTTGTGATTATTTCTTACACAACAACAAATCATTTATATATATAGCTAATCTAGGAGTTGCTTTTTCCTTTTAATGTTTAAGTCCAATGGCAACAACAACACAATCAGTGTCTGCCATGAGAAGGAAACATAATTGTTCCAGGAAGTTAAGTCTTCACTTTTCATTGCGCTGAAGACATCATTGATTCCATTATTTTATGTCATCCAAGACCAAACTATGACACACCATCCCAACTTCAAAGATGTTAAAATATGAAAAACATGTGTCTTAGAATTAGTAAAATGCAGTGAGTTGGCAGAATCACATATGGTAATTATCCCCAGCAAAAACTACCCCCTGCCAGGCGGCATGAAGAGAACCCAGCTTCCCTTGCATGGGGCTTAATCACTGAACACTTAGTGTGGCTACGTGTGGTTACAACACCCAGGTTCCACCAAATCCTTATTCTGCTATTCCCAGCTGTCTGATCTTGGGCAAGTTAGCCTCTCTGAGCCTCAGTTTTCTTATCTGTTAAAAGGGGTCATTGTAGAACCTGCAACATAAGGCTGTTGGGAGGATTAAATGAATAATGCATGTGGAGTACATTGTGTTGTGTCTGGAACTAAGTGCTCAGAAATTGTTAATGATGATGATGGTGGTGATTGTTGTTGTTTTTAGTTGCTACGTTGTGTCTGACTCTTTTGCAACCCCATGGACTGTACTCGCCAGGTCCTCTGATGATGGTGAGAATGATGGTGATTGTGGCAGTGATGGTGATGATGAAGGTGATGCTGATGTGGATGATGCTGATGCTGACAGTGATAGAATTAGTTTTTTGTTTTTTTTCCCCAATGTGCCTTTCCTGCCCATGCTGCACTAACTATTCTACCTCAGTTGAGGCTGGCAAGTTCTCTGCCTAAGGCTCTTTCTGCCCAGAGGGCATTTCACAATCTTGGTCGGGTCTGTAGGGAGCATAGTATTATAACCTTTCTCAGCAAAAACCACTACAATATTGTAAAGTAATTAGCCTCCAACTAATAAAAATAAATGAAAAAAATAATAAAAATAAAAATTTCTACATTAAAAAAAAATATATATATATATATATAAAACCTTTCTCAGAGTGCTCAAATCCTCCCCATGTCGTGTCCTTTCAGACTCCTACTCTTGGTCCATGTCCACCATTCTTTCCTCAACCCTCCTCTTTCTACCTTCAGCAAACATTTCAAATTCAGCTTGGTACAGTAATCTAGAAATGGCCTTCCCATAACCATGTTGGAAATAGCATAGTTTTATTAGAGTACATCATGAGAAACGCTGGGCTGGAAGAAGCACAAGCTGGAATCAAGATTGCCGGGAGAAATATCAGTAACCTCAGACATGCAGATGACACCACCCTTATGGCAGAAAGTGAAGAGGAACTAAAACGCCTCTTGAGGAAAGTGAAAGAGGAGAGTGAAAAAATTGGTTTAAAGCTCAACATTCAGAAAACTAAGATCATGGCATCTGGTCCCATCACTTCATGGGAATTGATGGGGAGACAGTGGAAACAGTGTCAGACTTTATTTTGGGGGGTTCCAAAGTCACTGCAGATGGTGATTGCAGCCATGAAATTGAAAGATGCTTACTCTTTGGAAGGAACGTTATGACCAACCTAGATAGCTATTAAAAAGCAGAGACATTACTTTGCCAACAAAGGTCCGTCTAGTCAAGGATATGGTTTTTCCAGTGGTCATGTATGGATGTGAGAGTTGGACTGTGAAGAAAGCTGAGTGTTGAAAAATTGATGCTTTTGAACTATGGTGTTGGAGAAGACTCTTGAGAGTCCCTTGGACTCCAAAGAGATCCAACCAGTCCATCCTAAAGGAGATCAGCCCTGGGTGTTCATTTGGAAGGACTGATGCTGAAGCTGAAACTCCAATACTTTGGCCACCTCATGGGAAGAGTTGACTCATTGGAAAAGACCCTGATGGCGGGAGGGATTGGGGGCAGGAGGAGAAGGAGATGACAGAGGATGAGATGGCTGGATGGCACCACCGACTCGATGGGCATGAGTTTGAGTGAACTCCGGGAGTTTGTGATGGACAGGGAGGCCTGGCGTGCTACGATTCATGGGGTCACAAAGAGTTGGACACGACTGAGTGACTGAACTGAACTGAACTGATTAGAGCACTATTTTATTTCATATTATCTACTTGGTTTTGCACTATCTGTTTTGTTTTGCATTCTCTTATCATTCATGCTACAAAGCCCAACCTCACTTCTTAAGACTAGTGACTGCATCTTCACTTTACCAAATGCAGGTGAAACTCTTTAGAAATATCATGTCATATGAATGCATGTCTCTCTTATCAGCACAGCTGAACTAGACCCAGATGACAATAATGCTTGACAATCAATGTGAGTTGAACCTTTTGTTAAAAATGGACTATTTGTCATTAAGCCTTAGTTTAATATTTATAACAGCATTGTGAACACTGTCATTTGTCTTGTACAAATGTGGACATGCAGACTTAGAAGAATCATTTGGGTCACCCAGTGTCATACCAGTTACTGCATAAGCTGACATGTGTGACTGCCTGGTAAAGGGCATTATCACTATTGGTGTAATTATTATTGCTGGGGCCATGGTGACCATTATCCTTAACTTCCCCCCGCCAGCACCCAGAATAATTTTCATGCCTGGAAGACATTCAGCAAATACACAACAGGAAAATCTTACATGAGTCAAACGACTCTGTTCCCATTTTCCTCTTAATTGTACCAGTTTCCGGGTCCCTCACCACCTGCCCCTCACACTGACATTCTGGGTGGTCATGCTCCCCTCTTCTGTCACAGGACAGGCTAGGTGCCCCTCATCAAGGGCCCCCTGGAAAAGCATGGTAAAGGATTCCACCTTAACACAGTAATGTAGGATGCTGTGGCTTCATTTCCCCCACTCGACTGAAATTGTGTTAGAGGTTTCCGATCCTTTGCGTGTAACACATAACTAAGTTAACAGCCAAGCAAGCAGCCTGATCCAATTTTCCAAGTAAAACCAATGCCCAGTTATTTATGAAATTTCCATGATGGGCAGAGCTTCTAAGTGTTTGGGCCATAAATCAAGTAGATTTTCCTCTTGTCAAATGTGTCCTCTGGAATAATGAATATCCTTTTAAAAATCAGGGATCAAATTTTTTTTAACTGAGGTAAAATGCATGTGACCAAATGAATCATTTTAAAGTGTACAATTCAGTGGCATTTAGTATCCACCATGTTGTACAAACACCCACTCTGCATGTTAAGTCACTTCAGTCATGTCTGATTCTTAACAACCCTATGAACTATAGCCTGCCAAGCTCCTCTGTCCATGGGGTTTTACAGGCAAGAATACTGAAGTGGGTTGCCATGCCCTCCTCCAGGGCATCTTCCCAACCCAGGGATTGAACCCACGTCTCTTATGTCTCCTGAATTGGCAAGCAGATTCTAGCACCACCTGGGAAGCCCAACACCCCCTCTATCTAGTTCCAAACATTATCATCACCCCAAAAGGAGACCCTGTATCCCTTAGTCATCACCTCCTAGCCCTCCCTCCTCCAAGACCCTGGCAACCAACACTCTCCTTTCTGTCTCTATGGATATACTTCCTTTGGTCAAGTTCCTATAAATCCATTCCTACAATTGGTGGCTTTGGGTGCCTGACTTCCTTTACTTAACCTAGTGTTTTTAAGGTTCATCCACATTATAGCATGCAATATTTTGTTTCTCTGCAGGGCCGGATAATAGTCCATTGTATGGATGGACCACATGTGTGCCTCCACTCATCCATTGATGGATACGTGGGCTGTCTCCATAGAGATCGGTTTTAAAAGCCTGCTCAGAAATAGCTCTGCCCGCTGTCACCAGGAAGCTGGCTCTCATAGGACTTATTGAGAGAAATTGTCCCCACTGTCCCTGAAAACCCTGGATCTGATGGGGACTCCAGCGAGGTTGGGAGAGGCCATGTGCCAGGAGGACTCCCCGTCCTCCGAATAGCTTTGGCTTTAGGAGCAGCTGCAGAATCACAGCCCCACCCTCGGGTGACCAGCTTGTCACCAGGCTCCAGGGTTCACTCGGGTTCCACCTCTGGCTGTGGCCCTGAGCGTGATGACTACTGTGTGGTGAGAGGAGGGTGTGAGCAGGCCTTCGCCTGCACACGCTCATCAAGACCCCTGAGAGGCCAGCAGTGGAGAGGATGGTGAAGGGCTGCTGCTTTGAGGGCTCCCAAAAGGATGCAGTTTCCAGGAACGTCTGTGAAAAGCGATTGTGCATAGACTGTGGCCCTCTTTGGGATGTGACCCATGGTGCTGAGAAGGGCACGGGAGGAATCGTGGGCGTGACAGGCGTGGACGCCACATGGGCCAGTGCCTGGCTTTCTGGACCAGGTGTCAGATCCTCCCCGGGCCGGCTCTGCGAGCAGCAGATGTGTCCCAGGGCCCCCAGGAAGGCTCAGAAAGGAATGGCGTCCCCAGGCCGGCCTGTGGGCAGCGTCCCCAGCACCAGGTCAGGCCGCCAGAGAAAGAAGGGCAGAGTCAGCTGGCCGGAGGGACTGGAATTTTCCTAGGCCAGGCCTCCTGCCTTGAGGAATGTCGGGCAGCCAACTGAGTGGCCCCTCCCCTACCCCCCCACCAAGTGCCTCTGGAGCGCCCGCACAGCTGGTCCTGTGAAGCTGGGTGTGAGCGTGTGGGTGAGTGTGCATGCTGTGTGTGAGCATTAAGGGGTGTGAGTGAGTGAGGATGTATGTGAGTGGGAGAGTGTCCAGATATGAGCCAACAAGTGTTAGTGTGAGTACCTGGGGGTGTGCATACGTGTATGAATGCATGAGCACGTGAATGTGTGAGCACACGGGAGTGTGTATACATATGTGATTGCATGAGCGTGTGTGCATACGTATGAAAACAAGTGTTGGCGTGTGAGAGTGTGCAAACATGTAAGTGTGTGTGAATGAATATGTGATTGTGTGAACGTGTGGGCAAGCATGTTGAATGTGTGTGTGTAAGTGCATGAGTGTGTGTAAGGAGCACAGATTCAGGCCCCAGGCGGTTTGGTCTTGTAGCTTCTAACAGGGACAGCCACCCACACCTGGGGACGAGCAGCATGGGACCCACACCATAAATGCAACCCCTAGCAGCCAGGCAGCACTGAACCATTATTAAGCACCTATTTTGTGCCCAGCTCCCCTGGGCCTTGGGAAACTCTATGAGGAGGAAGCGGGGGAGCTAGTTTTGCTAATTCAGGAAGGTGGCATGTGGGAGTGGTCCTGATGAGGAATAAGTAACCACAGCAAAGACAGCCAATACCACTACTATTTCCGGGCGCATCCACCTGCCAGAAGCTGTGTTTCACACCAATACCACTTGAACCTGCTCACAGCCCACAGGTGGGTGGTGTTATCGTCCCTGCCTTACACACGACATGACTAAGCGAGCAAAGAGTTAGGAACCAGTCCCCCCAGCCACCCCACACCTGCCTTGCTCTGTGGGGTGGGCTGGAGCGTGCCAGGTGGGAACCCACAGCGCAGGTAACACAGCCAGGCAGAGATGGGCAGCTTGGGCCCCAGCTGGTGACGCTCCAGCTTCCTCCTCCCCGTAAGCCTCCTACCCCCCACATTTCTAAACCCCAACTCGGGCGCCAACCCCCACCCCCTACCCCAAGCCAACAAGTTCCATCTTGTGACTTTTATGTGAAAATGAGAAATACAGTTTGTCAACAGGCTGGAATTCCTTTCATCCCAGCCCCTGCTCCTTAATTGGGCTGGGGGGTTTATTCCTCTGTGCATCTGGTTGTGGGGGGGGGCGGGGCATGGTTCAGAATTCCTCCAGCCCAATGAAAACTAAGACTGGGTTCTGCCAAAACTTGTTGTGTGAGCTGCCAGGGATGATGCTTCCGGAAATCTGTGATGAAGAAACTTTTGCGGGGAAAAAAAAATGAAAAAAAAGAAAATCAAAGCAAAGTTTGGAGAAATGAGGCCAGGGGATTTTCCTCTGGTTTCTCCCTGCGAGCCTGGCTGAGGACTCCTCTCGCACGACCCGCCCTGTAATCTTCTTGATTAGTTCTGCTGGAGGGCCGCAGGTCGACTGGAGAGGGGAAAGGAGGGGGAGGGGAAAGTGAGTCCAAAGTGGGTTTGCAGGGGGTGGGGGTGGGGTTGAATGTGGCAGAGACAGCCTTGGATGCCCAGCTGGAGACCGCCTTGACCCCTGATCCCAGTTTCTTGGGAGCCGAAGCTGTGTCTGCACGGGGGCTGGATAAGAATTCCTGCTTGTCGAGTCCTGAGGCTGCGTCTGTTAATTGCCTTCCAGCTGGATCCTTCCGGAAGGAGGGCTTCCTGCGGGCTGTGGGGCAGTGAGCAGGGTCAAGGTCAGGATGGGACAGGAGCCTGTCTGCATCAGTCTACTTTGGCTGCTGGACAAGCATCCCCAAGCCTGGAGGCTTAAACAACGCAATTCTGTTTGCATACAGCTCTGGGAGCCGCAAGTCTGGCACCCATCTTGCCAGGCTAAAATTAAGATGTCGCACCAGTCAGAATGGCCATCATCACAACATGTACAAACAATAAATGCCGGCGAGGGTATAGAGAAAAGGGAACCCTTCTACACTGTTGGTGGGAATGTGAGTTGGTACAGCCATTGTGGAGAACAGTATGGAGGTTCCTTAAAAAACTAAAAATAGAGTTACCGGAGGATCCAGCAATTCCACTCCTGGGTGTATATCCAGACAAAAGCCTAATCTGAAAAGATATATGCATCCCGATGTTCATAGAAGCACTCTTTACAATAGGCAAGACATGGAAATAACCTAAATGTCCATTGACAGAGAAATGGATAAAGAAGATGTGGTACATATATAGAATGGAATATTACTCAGCCATAAAAATGAATGAAATAATGCTATTTGCAGCAACATGGATGGACCTAGAGATTTTCCTACTGAGTGAAGTAAGTTGGATAGAGAAAGACAAATATCATGTGATATCACTTACATGTGGACTCTAAAAAAAGGTACAAATGATCTTATTTACAAAAATGAAACAGAGTCACAAACATAGAAAACAAACACGGTTACCAGAGGGTAAAGGGGGTGAAGGGGGTCAGGGTGGGATAAATTGGGAGATGGGGATTGATACATACACACTGTGTGTGTGTTAAATAGATAACTAATAAGTACCTATTGGACAGTGCAGGGAACTCTGCTCAATACTCTGTAATAACCTAGTGCTATATGGGAAAAGAATCTTAAAAAGAGTGGAGATATATATATACCTATAACCAATTTACTTTGCTGTACACTTGAAACTAACACAATGTTGTAAATTAACTGTACTCCAATAACATTTTTTTATAATAAAATAAAATCGTGATGTAAGCGGGGCTGTGTCCCTCCAGAAGACTATTATGGGGGAAAATGTTCTCTTGCCTCATCCAGCTCTGGAGGCCACTGCCAACATCTCTTGGCTCTCAAACCCATCCAGAAATAGCTCTGACCTCTTGCTTATGTTATCACATCTGCCTCCTCTTCCCATCTTCTTGCCCATCTCATTATCTCCACCAGTGACTACCCTCTTGCAAGCCTACCATGCCAGCAATGCCTTCTTCCTGCCCCATACTCACAGATTCTGGGGATCAGGACATAAACATTTTTCAGGGGGACCTGGTCCCAGTGAATTTCAGATTGACGTCCTGTCACCGAAAGAATTCACTGAGAGACAAAGTGATAGGTAACAAGTAGATTTATTTAAAAACACACCCTGCAGAGTGTGGGCCATCTCAGAAGGCGAGAGGCCCCGAAATATGACGTGGTTAGTTTTTATGGGCTGGGTAATTTTATAGGCTAACAAGTGGGAGGATTATCCCAATTATTTAAAGAAAGGGACAGAAATTTACAGGAAATGGGCCACCACTCACTTTTTGATCTCTGATGGCCGGCCTCAGAACTGTCATGACGGTGGTGGGTGTGTATCTTGTTGGTATGTAACAATGAGGGTTTCCCTGGTGGTTCAGCAGTAAAAAATCTGCCTGCCGATGTAGGAGATGTGGGTTCGATCCCTGGGTTGGGAGGATCCCCTGGAGAAGGAAATGGCAACCAACTCCAGTATTCTTGCCTGGAAAATGCTATGGACAGAGGAGCCTGGCAGGTTATAGTCCATGGGGTCTCAAAGAGTCGGACACGACTTAGCCACTAAAAAACAACAGCAATGTAACAATGAGCGTATGATGAGGCTCAAGGTCCACTGCAAGTCGGATCTTCCGCCATCTTGGACCTAGTTGATTCTATCAGTTTTTCTGTTTACTTATTTTTGGCTGCTCTGAGTCTTCATTGTGGCGTGCGGGCTCCCTCTAGTTGTGGCTTAGTGGGGGCTACTCTCCAGTTTCCACAGGCCTCCATTGTGGTGGCTTCCCATGCGCAGAGCACAGGCTCTAGGAACTTTGGTTTCAGTAGTTATGGTGTGTGGGCTTAGTGGTTGTGCAGCATGTGGAGCCTTCCCGGACCAGGGATCGAACCCATGTCCCTTAAAGTGGCAGGCAGATTCTTATCCACTGTACCAGCAAGGAAGTCCCAATTCTAACCAATTTGTCCTGGCCTGTAACCATGTTATTCTTTTAAAGGTTGTGCCCTGCCCTCTTTCCTCCTATTTCAGAATCACAGACTCAAAACCCAAACAGCCCCCTAGAAAACCGAGTTTTTTTGTGTTTCCTGCATCCTACCACCAAGAACTTGCTCCCGGCCTGCTCCCTTAGCACCCATGGTGATACATCTGAGATTTCCAGCCAGGCCTGGGTGTCCCAGCCAAGGGAAGGCAGAGGTTAACGGGCCGGCCCTGACCCATGCTGCCGAGGTCCCCTCGTCCCCTGCTGGAGCCAGGAGGCCTGTCTCGCAGAGTCTGACTGTCTTGGAGGAACTCATTTGCTGCTCAGAAATAATCCCAAACAAATGCTCTTCATCAAGGATCCTTCAAGAAAAAACATCAACTGAACAAGAGGATCAGCCCTTTGAAATGTCAGCAGTGTAATTACTGGGGGTAAGGGGCCCCAGTTTTAATTGAAGCTGCCTGGAAAACAGCAGTTTTCTAGGGAATAAAATAAAAAAAATACAGGCACACAAGCCCTAGGAAGCTGGCGGAGGGAGGGCACATCCACCCGATGCACAAGTTCCTGCTCCCCCCATCCCAGCGCTGGAGGTCTCAGTCCCCCAAGGGGTTCCTGGGAATTTCCATTTTTGCTCATGTTGAACCTACAACATAAGAAGTTTGATGGGCAGCTTGCTCACCAGGCCTTCTGCCCCGAGGTGAACATTGCCCTGGCTTTTCTAGAACATTCTCTGTAGTCATGGAGACCAGGGCTGGCCCAGCTGGGAGGGTTCACGGAGTCCCCCCACCCCCACCCCCTCCTTCTCCTCAGCCTGGCATAAACTCGCTTCTAGAAAAGACCTCCAGCATACATACCCATGGGCCCCAAGTGGGGTCCTGCCATAGCCCCAGATATGCCTGCAGGAAGGAAGGCTGCATTCTACCAGGCCAAGCTCAGTACTGAGTACTCAGTACTGACCAGAAGTCAGTACTTCTGAAAC